CCCCCCCCCCCCTCTCGACTTTTTCAATTTGATGCTTCCTCCCCTCTGTGAAGTCTGAAGTCAACTAAAGGGCTAATGATAACTATCAAAACCCCTGCCATTTGATATAAATAAATATTATTTTAAATTGATAAAATGTGTGCAAAATAGTGTATTATAGATTGTTTTGTCCTCTGATAAATCGAAATACTTATTTCAATCGCTCAAGTTTGCCCTCTCTAAGTAAAAATTATTCTTTGACGCACTCAAACTTATCTTGAGATATTGAAGATTCCCTCACTGAAAGTGAAGAAAGCAGCCTTAAGTACAACAAGATTGTGTACAGTTGAGGAAAAAAGGTCTTCATATATTCAAAGGCAAAGAATGTGCTTACAGCTAATTGCGGAGCATTCTTTAGGAACGGCGACAGTTCTCTCATCTTCGCGGAAACACTTCCAAGTTCAGTTTCTATTTGCTTCCTCAGTGACTGCAATTGCTCTTTTGCTTTTCGAGCATCATTCAATTCATCGAAGCAAAATTCAGCAGTCTTAATGCCATTCACTTGTTCCAAAAAAGTTTCTACCGTACTGCTCACTTGTCCGTATTCTTCAAGAGCAGCTATAGCGGCAGTGATCATTACTTCTGCCGAGGCGCAGACATTTGCGATACCTTTCTGGCGTAATTGAAGAACACCAATTTTCTTTCTCACACCTGCTACTTCTGGATCAACATCTTCCAACATTTCCTGGATAACATTTCCATTCTCATCAACCCTTTCCACAGTCATCATAGCTAATAGTCGCCCATCTAAGTCATTTATTTCCGCAGAAAGTCCAGATGAATCTGACCTGAGTTTATTCAGGCTTATGGCATACTCGTCAAGCAATTGTCTATAAGCAGCACGCGCACTGGCAATATCAGTGCAATCCTCCAGAGTAAATGATGCAATCCGAGTTTTAAGATCTTGAAGAGCGTCCTCTTGTACACCTGCAGAGTCTTCTAACTTCTTTGTTAACTCTCGAATCTCAACCCATTTTGAATTGGCCAATTCAAGAGCTGCAAGTCGATCTACAAGGGCTGACTTTGCTGATACCATATCCTTCTCTAGTTTATCGATAATCGCTGTCAATTCAGCCGACTTTTCTGGACCCAACTGCTCTGCAAGCAAATCGGCTGCTGCTCGTAATTTTGCGATATCTGCTGAAGCTTTTTCTAACGACTTCAAATGTGTCTCAATTGCTGAGGACTGTTCCTGGATCTTGGATGGTCCATAGGCAGAAATATCCTCATTGCTAAACACCTTTCCTTCAGTAAGGCCGTCACCGGTTGCAAACTGTGTGAAAGCCTCGTAGGAGCTACTCAAAACGTTCCCATTGGTAGTAGCGGAGGAGAGGCCTGGACTGGTACTACCCTGGAGAAGAAACACGGCACCTCCTAGAAGGTTTGAGAGACGGTTTCGAACCTCTTCAAACTGTCCACTGGCTTCAGTTGCAGTCCTAAGATTTACCGCCTTTTCTTCCATCACGCGGTCAGCATCCTCCCAGACTTGTAAAAATTGATTTTCCTTAGGTCGCATTTGAGGTAGCTTAGCTTGATCTAGAGTAGACATTTGCATGAGGTAGGCAAGAGAGGTCTTTTTCTCCTCATTAACGCGGGCAATAAGGGCATCTCGTTCAGCTAAAAGACGTTTCATTTCATCAGATTCCACGAACTGCATGTCAGGTTCGTTTGGTAGTTCTTCTATTTGCGCTCTCAGTCGGTTTGCTCGTTCATGCTCTGCCAACGCAGCTGCATATTGCTGATCAAGCGATTCAACTCTCTTTGAAGCTATTATTAGACGAAAAGTAAATAGATTACTGGTACTTAAATTACCTATATCATGTAATGTAGATCACTCACCAGTCTCTCGGACATCGGAGGTCATACTTTCAAGGTCATGAAGGCTATTGAGAACGCGAGCCAAATTAGTGCGTCGGTTAGCTATTTCAGATGGCGAAAGTCCCCCTTCACCAATCAGCTCTTGCAATATATTGTTAAGACGCTCCGCCAAAGAGATATTAGAGTTTGTAGAATCAATCATCTCTTCAAATTTTTCGAGCATTGCACGGTAGCGACGCGCAACTTCTGCTGCGACTTCCGGATCCATCAAATCCTCACTGCCTGCCAGACCATCGGAGCAAAGCTGATTTGCAAGCTCCTCGAATTCAGTCGTCCAATGTTCGAGCCCTCCCAATCTAGTAAAAAAAGAGCAAATCCATCAAGTGATAAGCCCGTTCGAGGTGGAGCCATGAATGATACGGGGGGATTACTTACTTGGCATCAAAATCCAACCACTTTTCGGGTAGTTCTCGCATATTAATTGCTAATTGTTCAGCACGACCTTTGAGTTGGTAGAGAATTTTAGATCGAACTTCTGTCCGCTGTGCATACTGCTCTGCAAGATCGGGCTCAATTTCAACCAACTCCGACAAGATATTCTCCATCTCAATCACCAAGGCAGGCAACTCTTCCAGAAAGTCAGGAGAGAAGAAATAGGCCTAATAAGTAGTATAAATCGTTGTAAGGAATTATTATTAATTAAAAAAACCTATGAATCTGATTTCTGGCCAATTCAATTTACTAACAGACCATATGAAGGGCATGATGTGGAAGTAGGATGGGGAGTCTTCAAGATTCACTATATTTAACTGAATTCTCAGCCCTCGTGCATGTTGTGGTTCCCAAATTTAGATTCGATTGCTTTTAATCTTTTTTAATTGAAATTTTTCCTTCTTGATAGTCATATGCCTACAAGCACTCTTGCGGAAGCATACTTTCTCTTCAATACAGATTTTATATAGCGTCCTTGACTTCGGGAGGGGTCATAAGAAATATTACATCTGATGGATGGTTGAAGAAGCCTTTCGCGTCTAACTGGGACCTTCGTTAAGCTTTATTGACTTCCAATACTCCATAAGCACTTTGACAAATATTCGCTAAGTTTCATCATGTTTCCAATGGTGGTATTCAAGAACTATTCGAAAATACTGCAGCGCGTTATCTAGTTAGACCGAATGTAAAGAGGCTAGACGCAGACTTGGCCATACAACATCTAATTGCTCTTCTAAGGCTCAAAATTTCTGAAACTCATAAACTGAGTAGCTTCATAGTTAATTTAAGCCTTCAGTACAAAAAGCGAATATGCAATAAATAGACGTATTGCCGAATAACAGCATATTTCAAACAATTATACAATGTGCATAGTAATTCAAAAGTATATTTTGATTCGCAATTTATTTATAATTTTACCAAATAGGATTATATATGTATTATTTTAAATAAATATTAAACAAGTGTGAACTATTTAAAATAAATATCATATAACAAATTTATTTTAGATGGTGACAAAATCTTGTTTTTTTTCAAAAACAGTAAAATATGTACTAAGGGGCGTGAACATGTAATAGACGAAATTATTGAAGGCCGACTGAGTGCCGACGATAACTACGTCCACCTTTTCCGGTGACATTTTAATGCATCGAAAACGATTTCCAAAGTCCCAACTCACTTCATGCTCACTGAGAACTGAGCTGACTTCTTCACCTGCCTCGATTCGAGATTCCTCCTGCCTTAGCTTTTCTGATGCTTCCATCAACTTCTCTCCAATCTTCACATCAGTTATCAAAAATCGAACTGTCAGAAGAGCACGTGGCGAAAGGCCAACAACATCCTAGAAGAGAAAAGTACAGGAACAATTTAATCTATGTTGTTACTGAAATAAAATAAGTAGACGATCACTTACATTATACCGTTGACGCAAGCATTCCACTCTAGAGACCACCTCTTTAGAGCATACAACAATCTCGGTTTCTGCGCTTTCATTTACCGTGGTCATAGGCCAAACTTCGACAAAGCTCTCAAAGCACTGGTTCATTGTGTCGAAAAATTCGGTACCTTGAAGAAGATGCTCGTCACAGAAAGTTACATGGGCGTTGCGTTGCTGTTCCAGGCGATCGAGACTCCACTGGGTGATACAGGCTGATTCTGTTAGCGTCTTATTATTCATCGGAAGCATGGTATTTAGGGAGGTGGTAACAACATGCTCGGCATCTGATAACCACTGTTCCAGGCTTTCAGCAGCTTTTATCACAGCCTCTCGGGTCTGGCTTTGTTTGAGTAATAGCTGCTCTCGTTTCCTAGTCTGCTCCAGCATTATCTGTTGTAAGCAAAATCAGATTAGAGCACTTTCCTGCAAGTAACTTTTTAAGCAATTCAGCCAATTGTAGTCTTTAAACTACTTTCCAACTTCTGCACTAGAAACTCGACAATGACAAAAAATATACATTCACATAAAATTATTTAGTCTTGGCATACTAAAATTGGCAAAAATAGAGCAAAAAGTTTGATTTTTTAGGCTTTTAGGCCTAATACTGGTTGACGATTCAGGGCAATGTTTTAGAAAAGGAAAATTAAGTCCCAATATATATGGAATTTTATTGAATTTCGAGTCAACTCGTAGACTAATTTGAATTGGTCCATTCCAAACTCCGCGTAACACAATACTTTATTGTAATTACTCACCCCTGTAAACACTAAGTAATGAATTAAAATGACTATATAAAGGTAATGCAGTAATTTGAGTAGTTATTTCTCCCACAAACTCACGTTTATCCTTTCTCGGGTCTCTGCAATACTTGTTTCTAGCTCCGAGATGTTGACCGACTTCAGACCTTTCGCTTTCAACTCCTCCAACCTCGATTCTGCTTCTTCTAGAGCTTTCGTTTGATCGTTTATACTTTTACAATGTATCTATTAATTCGAGGGAAGAAAAGAATTATAAAATGCAAGAAATGAGTTTGTAAAGTCATATTCAGCACCCTCTTTAAAGGGGAAATTTTTGGGAAACATGATGTTCCAAAGAACATGAGTATATTGTATTACGATTATAAACTAAGTCACGTTTGAATGAATAGGTAGTCAGCCTTAATAATAACCAAAAGTTGAGTTTAAAATTCGGCATTAAAATAGGTAAATAAAAGACTATTCCTTCGTATTCGCTATAATCGATCAATTATATGGTTCTACCTTTGCGATACAAAGGCATTATTGAATTATCGATTTTTACATTAAATCATTTACATGTGATGCGATCATAGAATTAGGCGAAAGAGGATAGAACAAATATTAAATAACAATTATTTTACTGGCTATGAGAAGTAGAATTATTGATTTTTAAAACAAAAAAATGAATTTATTAATAGGGTTATAGAGCTTGGCCGTTAATGTGGGATATGGGGTAGATAATGATTAAGATTTGTTTTTACCAGTTTTAAAATGATAATAAAGCAAACCTCAAGTCGACGAATTGCCTCATCTGGACTAATTGAGCCTAGGCTATCCAATGAAATTTCGTCCATAGATTTAGGAATATCCGCATTAGTAGCAGCTTCAGCCTCTTCAATCCATTCGGACATTTGGGCAAGTTTGACGGCTACAGATACAGCCTCACGCATTGCTAAAGCCAATTCAGAGAGTCGGTTATCGATCTTCTCGGTTGCCATTTGTTGCAATAGATTTCGAAGACGTTCAGTTTCCTGTCTCCAATGCTCTACCTCCGAGAAGTCAATATCGCCATCTTTAGAAGCTGCCATTAACTTTTGCAAAATTTCCTCAGCAAGCTGGCAAAATGAACACAATTTGGCCTAATTATCAATTCTGGGTACCCAGGTACAGGAAAAATAGGTATAAAACTATTACCTTGTATTCATATTCAAGACTTTTGATAATTTTTTCTTTGCTGTCTTGAAGTTGGTGGCTGTAATCTGAGGTAGCTTCCTCCGCCTTTTGCATACTAGTGGTTTGAGGGAGAGAAACTTCTTTATTTATTAATTCATTCGCATTTCGAAGCAAATCATTCATATGATTCAGTGCAAGATCGAAATCCCGTTTCAGATTTTCGATAGTCTCTGCCTGAGTTGACCTTTCAACCTCATTTGAGATGTTGTCAAGCTGTCGGAACATATCGGCCATTTCTTTGTTGATCGCTTGTCCAGTTGAGATGGTGGATTGACCAATAAGGGCGGCGCCGAGATCCTGAAGAGCACTAAGTCGATCGCGCCAATTATTTAGTTGGGAGAGAAGGAAACGCTTCTCTGAAGTGGTTATGCTCTCCCGTCGAAGTTTATTCTCGGCATCCTGCATCCATGCATAGATGCTTTGAGTTTCCTGGAAGTTGAAATAAAAACTCATCATTGCCCCTGCAATCATCTCATATCATTCGAATTCGTAATCTCAATTTCCTTCTTCTTCCTCTTCTGTCTATCAATTATCCGTTGTTGTTATAGCCTTATTTATTCCTCTTACTGAATCACTAATTAATACCCATCTCGCCAAATTTAAGTATCCAACAAGAACATCAGTCGGTTTCTAACCCTGTTGCAATGAGGTATATAAATAGTTCGAGGCGTTCACTTAGTAAACTTGCTTATTTTTGCATAGCAAAGCCTAGGCTACAATCTCTATTTCCATGCTCAAACAAATTTTGTCAACAAACATCTCCTAAAACTTTAGGTTTTGAGGAAGTGAACTTTTGCGAAACATGGGTTTATGGGGTAATGTGATAGCCCATTCACCTCTTTCACAATAAGTTCCACTGGTACTAGACTCGCAACAAAAGGCGCTCTTGCTGTTTAAAATATGCTCAACGCGTCTATAGTCTTCAGTGATACCAGCAAAAGTCTTCGCGGCAGTGGCATCAGTCTACTGTAAGACACGCGTGCGAGTGCAGTTGGGTGCATTTTCAAAAAAAAACAATTACTCAGGCTTTAAAGAGTAAAACCTCAAAGATAAGATGGTTCTTCGTGAGAGTTCAGCTCATTGAATACAACTTGGGGTATAGAGAGATTGATTGGTTGGCTGTCTTATGAGACAATAGTTGCAGAAATGGTAAAATTGCATTCCCATGACCGAGCGTAGAAATCCAATAATCAATAATGCAGTTTACGAAAGACAAAGCCCATGGAATCCGCGTAGATGCAAAAAAAATATTCTTACTGACTTATGTTCAGAATTTTAGGCTAAGAGAGTGCCCTTGTTTACATAATTTCCTTAAATATCAACTTGATACGGAAGTAAGGTATGAGCTTAATTAGACTCAACTTACGCACACATTGAAACATTAGCACTGTGAAAATTATTAAGCATCCCCAGCTAACAGCTCATTTAATAATTGCGCCTCCATAATGTAAAGATGAAAAGATTTTTCCACATTTACTTCGCAGTATTTCAACTGTGATTATCTAACCCAGAGAACCATAACAAAAGTCTGATAGGTACAAACCCCTGTTTCCTCATGAAAAGCAACTCAGTGCAAATTAATGGAAGGAATTTACTTATTTATTAAAATTGACCTTCCAACGGTAAAATAGATAAAAATAAGCTTTTGGACGAAAAATTACCGCTTGCCAATCCTACTTACTTATTTATTAGGCAGATTTTGACATTACAATAAACTCTAGTTGCATAACAAAACTGGAAATATTGTCATACATTATTTGCATTATGCCTATTCAAGTTCACATTCAAGAGACATATTTTTGTTATTCAGATTGTCATAATTCAACATGCAGAAACCATCACTTCCAGTCAGGTGTGTTGGAAATTTGCTATTTCGATAAAAAACAAGGCTATAACTGCTAATTTACCGTTTCATACGTCTTCCATGTTTCAAACAAAGTCAGTGAGGACTTTTCCAAATCATCCATTTCCTTTTGTGCATCAACCCATCTAACGCGAAGTGAGGAGAGAAACATTGAAGCCTCGGCTCGTTCAGTCTCTGCAATATCCCGCATAATTAAAGTTCCCCCTCCGGCTTTGATCTGAATAGTCAACAAACCTGCAACCGGCTGCTCCCCTGTAGTAGCAGAAGCATCACTGACACATTTATCCTCAGAATCTTTACACAAAGCATCCAGTCCAGCGATATCTGTGTCCATAGCATTCGGAAGATCCTTCTCCTTCTTCCAAGCCTTTAAAGCAAATTTATGTTAGATTTAGCTGATATTGGATAGTAATAAACCGCAAAGTCGCGCTTAACCCACTCTTATCTTTTCCACGCTTTCCAAAGCATCTTCCAGCTTCTGAAATCTCTTATTCTTCCACATATTGATGAATTCGTTGATAATAGCAATCTCATCAGTCAGCTTCCATCGCAAATGTAAACGACTAATTCGACGCAAACTATTCTCTGCTTCACGACACACATCCTGGAAGCGCTTTTTGATGGCATTCACAACAGTCTCAGGAAGGGCCGACGGTTCATCTGGAGTGTTTGTTTTGAACAGTAAATCCAGTAGTTCAGTCATTCTGTCTTTTTCAATAAGCCTTTCCTACACAAAAATTTGATATTAGATAATTGCTACTTGAGTAGTTTCAAATTAAGACTCTTCACCTTCAGTTTTTCTAACTGATCATCAAATTTCGCCCTCCTTGTTGCTGCATCCGCGTCTGTAATGCTAGCAGCATCCATTTCAATGGCAAGTCGGGCGCCAGCACTGAGACAACGTTCTAGCTGGCCCAACCATCGACCAATCGTTGCCCAGTCACCAGGTAAGGAATCGTCAAGTCTCCAACGCCATTCATCCAACGCGGGTTTGACCTTTGTCCATTTGGCTTCTATCTCGGCTAATTCAGAGGGAAGAATACCTAGGAGAATACCCTGGCGTTTGCGATTTCCCAACTCAACGAGACAATTGGTTAGGCTCTGGTGTTCTTTCTCGGCTTCATATAATTCCTAATCAAGACAGAGAGAAAATGTTTTTCAATTTCTTCAAATGGATGGGAATAGAATAAAACTTCAAACACTTTCGTATATCCCCCCCCTCCCCGACACCCACCCACCCTCTTATATTTCACCGAACAAGCTTCCCATTTCTTTCCACCAATCAATTTGTACCAGATACAGTGAAATACGTCTATTAAGAGAATCGATTTCTTTATAACGATACTACCGTTTACACCCCCTGGAGAGAGAATAATTGATTTAGTTTCGTCTATTTTATACTTTTCGTCGTATTTACCAACCAACTGGATGGCTAATTGATTCCTGATAATTGTAAAATTAACTCAAGTGCACTTATTAAGTACAACAAAGCCTCAATGATGATTAGGGGGCAATTAAGCTCAATATCATCGGTAAAAAGCCCAATTTGACACAAATTCGCCTTTGTTCTGAAATATTCATTTATGGCGAGAATAACGCACTCAATAAAGTTAGAAGTCAAGACCCCTAAGCCCCCTCATTTGTTAGGAAGTTTCGGCCAGATTTCAGTTCTTTCGTGCTCTTTTTGGAAACTTGGACAAAGTAAATATATTTCTCTGGTCATCTACTCCACTCTAATTCCACCTATCTACTCATTTAGTAGTTAGAAGAGTTCTTCCTCACCTTGGAGATCTTAGGGAACAACTTCTAGGAACAAATATCAAATTAATTCGACAATTGACGACTGTAGATCGTGTCTCCTTTCCAATCTCAGTACTCTCGAGCACATTTTAGAACATTATTTTAGTCAATAATAATGCATTGAGGGACAGATGACAACGCTACCTGAAGTTCTTGAAGAAGATCTTGGGCGTCCAGGGGCTCATATCGAATCCTAGAGATGAGTTCCTTTATGTTGATCGCAAATTGTCGCTCTTCTTCCGCTTGAGTATTCGAATCTTTGATCTAAAATTAAAGATTTTGTTAGGTTGAAAAAAAATACAATTAAAATATTGTAAAGATTTTGCCTTAAAAACATCCTATTCGTAACAAAACAATCATTACATTAATTTTTAAAAGAATTCAAACTTAAAATTATACAAAAAGTCCCTTTATTTCCGCTTTCCAAAGTACTCAAAAAAACACCACTGCTGGCTCTTCATGCGCCAAAATAAATAAAAAAATCATACTGCCAAAACAAGCCTTTTCTTGAAAGCATTCCCAAAAATAAGATTTCAATTCAAATGAAAAGGTGGCTCTTCGATAAACCGAACAAATCTATGGGCATTATTGTGAATTCCCGTAACTTGAGTCTACTCAAGCCTGAACTTGACCAGTCGGATATGATTCTTTGGACTTGCCTACGTAAAATGACTTCGGATACCCCCAAACCCTTAGGTCATCGAGATTAAATATCTCTGATTGGCTTCCTCCTTGCAAGAACTTTGCAACCGAATTTTATACACCCCTCCCCCCCCCCCCCCCCCCCCCCCCCACCAAAACAACAAATACTGAATGCTCCAATCTTGCTTCCTTTTCGCTTTGTTGTGTACAAGAAGTTAGGAGGAAGTTATTTTACCGTCTATGATATTCTCAGCCATGGGGTGGGTGATAGACTTGCTTCCATGTGGTGCATCCTGGGCAACGTATACTCATACGGCAAAAAAGTCTATAAACCAGCAGTTGACTTCTTACTTCAAACTACCATGACCCCACTGTATGTCATATTCGACCACTTTCACAGTACTCATCTTACCTTTTCTCTGCCTTTGTGTCTGTCTATCTGCCTCTTTTACATCTGTTAATCACTCTTCCGTCCCCTGAGGTCAACCAAATGGCTAATGATAACTATCATAAAGCCTGCCATTTGATATAAATAAATTTTCTCAGGCATAACCTTATGTTCACAGTAAGCTTCTCTTAGCCGATCCTACTAAGGACACTCAGAAAATGGTAAATAAAACCTTATGTGTTCGCGCGAACTATTAACTTGCCTGACTTTCAATTTGCACAATTTTGACAGTATTCTTAGTCTCCTCAGTTTTATCCCCAGTGACACGAATATTCGCAATTGCTCGCCACCGTGAGTACGTTTTCGCCACACGAGCCAACCTCAAATCAGCATAAGTTCGTGCCCGTCCTTGCCTTCTAGGCGAGCCCATATGCATGGTGAAGCGAACGATATTCGGCATCGATTGCGCAACTTCAGGATTCGTTTCCATCTCCTCTTCCGATCCAGAGAGACTCGAACTCGTGGCTGCTAGGAGACTTCGGATTCCTTCATCGTCAAGAAGGGAGGTGGGGGTTGTGAATGCCTCCTTTTGGTTGGAGGTTTTGGCGTTATGAAGGGACACGGTGGAAGCACTCAAAACAAGGGAGGGGTCAATTGCAGAGTCGACTGCGTCTAGGGATGTCTCTAGAGATCGGGCTGGAGCAATGTTGCCCGACTTTTGACTATGAGGCTTATTCTAAAGCATAAAGAGAGAGAAAGTGTAAGCTTCATTAGCATAATAGCAGTATTTGTCGACAAGGCATTCACCAGTTTCTTTCCTGTCGGATATTGCTTGAGGAATTGGGCGATGTATGTCATGATTGAGCGCTCATCAGGTTTGTCAACATCCACATCTAGATGAATGCCAAAATATTGAAATTTGTGGCAATTTCAAAGCGAATAAATTAAGCATTTTTACGGGTTTGTGATTAACCTTCTACATCGAGAATATATGGAATGCCTAGATCTCGTTCAGCCGTTCTGAATGCGATCTCCAAATTGGCTTTGTTGTCGTCGGGTTTGATTTTATTAAGATCTATGCACTCGGCTTCGACGCTATGGACGAGAGCGCAAAAAGCTCGACCGTCACGCCAGCTCACTCCAAAGTCCTTGACTTGAATGTTCAGGAGTCTACTCAAAAGATGAAAACTTTTAAATATCAGAAGTTTGAAGTAAAGAGACGGAAATCGTAATGCAACAAACGAACATTTGACCCTCGTAACAATGCATTCAAGTAAATTTAGCAAATGCAGATCATCATGTTTTAACAAATATCAGTCAAGATTTCTACCGTATTACTAGATGGATGATAATAGAGGAGAATAGTAAAACATTGCGTGAATGAATGTATTACAAATTCTATTAGAAGAAATTTTTCTCTTTCTGTGGCATATCTACAACAGTCTCAAAGAGGGAGGGATGTGGTGTATTGACTTGCAATCCTATCCAGCTGCATTAACGTCTGGTCGTCGCTTTATCCACTCATTCATCCTATTCTTGTCTTCCACTTCAGCTTCTTATATGTGTGTATTAACAATCATGCGCTTTCCGCAAGTTCAGCTACTGGAAACTGCCTAAAACCCATAGGCAGTAAACAGACTCCATGAGCCTATCGATTATTGGTTTTTTTCTCCAATACAAACAAACCAAAATTCTGTTTAGACAGGTCCTCTCATCCCCTTCTAGAAAATAACGAGAGGATCATATACGACTCCATTTCCAGTGAAAGAAATGAATAAGACAATCTCTCTATAAATTGCCATTGTTCCTAGTGTTCTACTAAAATACTTTACATAGATAATTAAACACTTTAGAAGTACATTTATCCGTTATTTCACAGACGAGTGCATCTGGTTACACCGGAAAGGTGTTGGCGCCAAATTTCAAACAGGAAACCGTCATCCTGATTAACAACGCTACCCAATTCCACATTGGAAGGTAACATTTTGAAAAATTCATGTTTTGAGAAATAAAAGGATAACTACTGCTAAAACAAGTTTTAAACTCACCACATATCACTTAATAGTGATATCTAAACGGCGTCAATTTGTCGTTCTTCTACATTTCGAAAATGTGACGCCTTAAATTGATTGAGTTACCAAATTAACTACTGGTTATTTCTGCTCAATCGCACTGATAAACCTTTTCAAAACCTAAAATGGCCTCATAAAGTTGGTAATAAAACTCCTTTTCACCTAATGACTCTCAATTTCACCTTCATTTTTTCCAAACAATATAAAGGACTTTATCCTAAAGACTATCCTTTACAAGTGTTATGAATGTGGTTCCCGTTACAATCCCCATTACAATCAGTAACTGTATACAACAAACATACGCCACTCTTGCAGTTGGTTTCTGTTGAAGCTCCCAATTAACAATGGAAATTAGGAACGCTTTAAATTTTGATAGCATTACTTGATCGCTGAAGAGATGCACTTGTGCACCCAAGCAAGAAGAGCTTTCTTATGAGCAATAGGAGGGACGGCTGGTACAGCTTGTTGCGGGGCAGCGTTTGCAACAGATCCACTCGGCGTCGATGTGTCTTCCTTCGTCACCTTGGCAGCTGCTGTCGCGGCTCGCAACACATCCCCATGTTCATCAATCTTGAAAGAAGAGAGTAGATTTTGAATGCCATTAGACACACTACACACATAACATAAGCGTCCAACTCACGTGAAAAGAGAGAATGATAGACCAGATAAGACCGAGAACAATGGCCGGCCGGCCGTCAACAATGTCCGCTGGGTTTATATTCACTAACTTGATCTACAACAATCAGAACAAAGGACAGTGGGTGGGGAAAAAACGAAACGAGATAAAAGTCCCATATGCCACAGTGTCATGGCAGCAGGGAAAGGCAACTTACCTTTCTTTTCTCCGTTAGAAAATCCAACGCAGTTTTCACATTGCTCAGGTAGTGCGCACGCTGCATTACCGAGGCTCTTTCAATCGGCTAGAAAGGCAAAACAATCACAGAAATAGCAGCTCTACTCGCTTGATATTGTTGGAAATAAGCGTTGGTTTGAACTAACAGTGTGGTCAAGGTTTTACTCTAGGTTCATAATTTTACAAATGCTTGTTTTCATACGCACAGAGAAGAGCTTGGAATGAATGAGAGTTTAAGATCTACCATAAACGGGAGAAAAAGTAAGTGAGGATTGATATTTGTTCAAAGCACTGTGAGACAAATAAAGAATCGATAGAGATTTCAAATGTCAGGTTACAGTGGATTATCTCAGCCAATCACCAAGAGACAGTGGATTACATATTTATCGAATCCAAAAATTACACCCGAAAGGACACCTTAAGTCAGTTACCGTTTAGTGCTTTTTAGTTACAGAGTAGAAGTCGTGGTGTGGTTGCTGATTTTAATCTTTAGAAAAATGGAACCAGGCACTAGTGAGTGTGATTGAAAATCAATAATTAAGAATTGAATTTAATGATTAAAAGGAATTAATTCAAGCTTAGAATTTTTCAATGCTTGTAACAGCTGGCAATTATTTTAATAATTGTAAAATGAAAAGGACTAAAAATTAAGAGACACAAATGAGGAGAATGATAGAAAAATTGGTGATTTAAAATGAAACTGAAAATCTTCGAATTTAAGGCGACGCCAAGATTGGTGCAATTTTTTTACATTATAGAGGGCAGCCGAAGTAAAAGTGATCTCCAGTGAATACAGAAAGGTAAATCGAAACAATATTCTTACTTACAAGTAGTCAATACGCAATATTACACCACCCCGAACAGGCCCTCAGTATCACTTACACTAAGATACGGGACACAACTTACAAACCTCTATCTCCATTACCTTCCGTATTATACAGGCTACGGAAATTCTTCCACCTTGGTCACACTGTAGAAAAGCAGGCGAGTCCCTGGAGGTATGAAACGAGAAGGCTAATTGCAAGTACCCAATGAAGGCTGTCCCTAATACACCAATATTTTACCTCGTGCTTTCAAATAGTAAGCCATTATGGAAAGGGCTATCTTATCAACTCTTAACAGTTCAATCGATCGGCTTCACTAAGATTGCACTCGATGCCGTCGTAGGTTCATAACTCGCATACCAAACTATCAGTTATTACCCTTCTACCCTCAGATTTGGGTAAGTAAAACCACCAGCAAAGAAACCATTTGCCGGGATTATTGTTTAAACCCAAATCCATTTCTATACAAATATGCATATTTTCTCAAGAATGGACTGTCGTTTGAACTAAAATTCTACTTCTTTCTAGAGGCATAGTAGTTGGCACCAAAATAAATTTTATAAATTCAAATGCCCTATGAAAATGAAAAATTAAAGTGTTTATTTCTACCGATTTAAATGGCCAAAAATATAGCAGTCATTTTCCTTCACTAATTGTTACCACTTCAAAATGTGAGATTTAGTTGATTTTTGATATTATTAATTATTATTAATTAATTGGATAAAAAAATGAAAAAAAGAACCAGATATGGATAAGGTGTTTAAACGACTCCAAGAGTATTATAAATCCTTATAATAATAATAATAATAATAAACACAAAAAATGCGAAAATGCACAAAAAGAGAGGGCAAACAAAGGGGTGTCATTAAAGAGGGACAAGTCCATCCCCTTTAAAAATAACCGCGAGCCCTAGTTTCTGCACAAATTCAAACAAACTATTTATGGCAATGACGATTAGTATTTGAAAAAAAATAGTAAAGTCAAACTTACCAATCGAACATCCGCCAGAACTTCGAGTAGTCGAACCAATTTTACACCATCGCGAATATCCACAAATAAATCGCGAACATAATCCGGAGGTACGGCCTATAAGGGGAGGCAATCACTCAATGTCTTTCAAAATTGTGCTCTGTCCCCATGCCAACGCAAAATATTACATTAAAATTTCTATTCAAGAGATGGCTATTTAAAACAGTAGGGAGGCAAGCGAAGGGAACGCGAAAAACAAAGCCCTTTCATTTTTGTTAATTTTTTTAAAGGGCACAATGAATAGTTTCATGATCTAGTGTTCCAAAGTGAACACTCTTGGGTAACCCCAAGTCCCCAATGTTCATAGATTATTGACCCGTTGGTAGTTGGTCATATGGTGCTGATATAGCTCTTTCACAATAGCTAAGATGCTAGCTTAGATAATTTTGGCAGAACAGAGTTCAAACAAGTTTGGAAAGGTAACTCACCTTCGCCAGATATGCATTTACCCAATTCGTGAAGGTCTTTTTCTGAATTCGCTCCTGTTCATCTGTAAAAAAAGAACAAAATATGCAGATAACTAAAGACGTTTAAAGGATCATCGTCAAAAATGGCGGAAGGGCATTCACTGATCTAACCAACCTACCAGTTAGTTCAACAACGAAGTCCCCCATGACCAAGATCGCATTATTTAAATCCAGATATGCGTTTATTCAACTATCGCGTGGTTATCGGAGTAGCATTTGCTTGGAGGCGTCTACTCAGGTGCACGTTAGTCTATGAATATTTCAGAAGGGGATGTGTGCACGCAATGAAGGTGTAAGGGGGAGGGGGATGAGTGAAGCGCTCAAGCACTCTATTCTCTACTGGAGCTATTCCCAATGGCCTGTCAACGCCCTAACCCATTTCCCATTGGTTAGCCCCATCCTCACCCTCCGCCCTCCACCAGTGAATCAGTCAAAGCGCGTGCACTCACGTGTTCACCGGAAACGTAAGTCTAAGCGTGTGTGCGAATGACTCTCAGCACTATCCTCAATATCTCGCGTTACCATACAATAAATGCTACTTAAATAGCATGAGTATGGATTCCAAAAAATGAATTCTAACAACCCCCCACATGATCAGGACAATAATTACAGAAAAGAAACTAATTTGTTATACTCAAGTGCTTCAACGAATGCTAACCTAAGTGAGAACAAATTTGACACAGCCTTTCCTTCCATAGGGGAAATGCCAGTGCAGAAGTAATACTTAAATCTAGCATAGCAAATTACCGGGATTTGACGCTCGTTGGAAACCCGAAATACGACACACATCTGATAGTTAGTACAATTTTCTTCAAGAAAACAGAAACAATTAGAAACTTATTCAGAAAAGTACCAACAAACACTTGAGATGGGTCCATCAAAAAAATAAACTTTTTCAATAGAGGTTTTATGGCTATTTAATCAATCAAAACCGGCGAATAACACCGGTTCAGACATCAAATAGTATAATATAAACACGTTATCCATCCTTAAACTGTGCAGATTAGAACACGTGTCCGCGTGTCAGACAATTTTCAAGCAAAAAGGAGAAAGGTGTAGTCATACATACTGGAGAAAGTCCGCGATTTAGGGATAGTTAATTAAACGAAATATTGACCGCGTGGTTGCCAAAGGGGTTGCCAATTATTAGTGTAATTAAAGAGTGGTTAAGGAGTTTGCCTTCTAAATCAGAGATCATGGTTTGGATGCTCGTCAACGCACATCCAGTGATGTGGATAGCACATCACGCTGGATAATAGCAAATAGCTAGATGAGTGGCAGAATGATGAAGAATGATGAGTGTCCATAAGAGTAAGTCCAGGATAACTACAATCTACTCAAGTCAAGTGTTGGCAATACATCTCCTAGTTGAATTGGGAGGTTAAAAAGTCACGAGAATCAAATTTGACATAAATATTTACACCATTTAGTTGAAACAAAGGGGATAAAATGTGTGAAAAAATCGTAATGAACAATATACGATAAACATATGCTGAACGAAGTTAGTTAACCCAATCCGCTCCTAGTATACGTCACATTTAACAAATCAATTCATGGAATTTCTAATGTTGAGGCTAAAAGAACTATTTTCTTGATTTTATAAAAAATAAGCCCTTTGTCAAACCCATTTGTAAGATAAAAGCTACTAAATCGTTTGGACGCATTTCAATGTCAAGGGTATGCTCAATTTGATGGCAAAAAAATTGAAAAATCGGAGAGCATGAATATCATGTTCATCAGTGTACAACCAGAAATGTTTATGGCCATTTATAATAACTTCGAGGTTCAAAAGAAGGGGTTATTTGATGAACTGAGTCCAAAACATTTGGGCCTATCTAATCAGTTAAAATGACTACCAACAACCCGACCGAGTGACTCTCTCAGTTCAATTATTTAAGGCAAACATTGATCGAAGATTAGAGAAAGAGGGCTTATTTATGGATCGAAAAACCAATTAGTGCCCATAGGACGCCTAATGGGAAGACTTGCTAATAATATATAGAATTGGGAAAACTCACTTTCAGGACTTGAGATGAAAAATCGTATAATCGATATACTGTCAAAAAAGTCGAACACTTCTCAGTGGTGCTTGAGTTAATTTTAGCTACACATATATGTAGGAGGGGTAGCAATAATAAACAGATATATATCAGTGATATTTGTACCCGCACTCAGTGAAAGAAGTAACTCTGTAAGTTCTTTCCTCACTATGCATACTTTTTATTGCCATTATTATTATTATTATCACTACTATTAGAATAAATACTTAAACATGTTAAACATAGTAGTACACTACTAGCATCTCAGACACACTTCATCACCACTTAAGAATGCCTCCAAGCCCTCTTATTCAGTCACGTCCGTTAATTCCTTAAGAATTACCTCAAGAACTCGCGTGTCCATTAAAAACTGTGCAATTACTCATCGAGTCCTTGTTTCTCTCTCACTCTCACGCACACATGCATTTCTTCATCGCCAAGACAAAGAAGTCATCCGATTTACACCAAATTCTTGCATTCGGTGAGAAGTGGATCAACTATAACAGTGACAGTATGATTTAAGTAGCAACTGTGAAATGAAAAGTCAACTGCCAGTTTATAGACGTTTTGCCGTATAAGTATACGTTGCCCAGGATGCGCCACGTGGAGGTAAATCTATATCACAACCCATAAAACATAGCATAAAACAATGATAAGTAGTCATGAATGCCTATTTTGTAGCAAAAA